AAAGACCCTATTCATCCAGGAGGGGTCAAAATCGCGAATCTGCATCTCAAACCTGATTGCCGCGGCAATAACTTGAAGCAAGATGAAGCATGCAAGGGATGACAAGGTCAACATGTGCAAAAACATGTGAAGATATGGGTGGTTCCTAAATTAAATGGAGAAACCCCTTGTCGGCTTCTCATCACACTCCAGCAGGCGCCAAAACCCCAGGACTGTCTGCGCCTGTCTCCGGTGGATAGCCTCCAAAGACACCTGGCTGTCAACAAGCAACACATCACCTTCCAACGATCAAGAAATTTGGCAAGTAATGTTGAGGACCACCATGATCAGGGTTGTACCATCTGCAAAAGGGCGATACAAAATGCCACGCTGTGAGTGGCTCCACAAACACTGCTTACCTCATAGCACGCCACCCTGCACTGGGTCCACTGCAATATGCAAACTGCGTTTTTGCGGCAGTGTCATCCTTGCACAGGGTCTCCTCCCAAGTATTGGGCCTTTGGCTTGCGCTTCAGCCTCCGATTTTGCCACATCCCCTGACATCATCGCGCGCCTGCCAAGACCAGCTGAGGAAGACCCGCTGGCAGATCTGCCACCTGACGGGTGGTGGATTTTTTTTGGGTAAGTCCTCTCTGAACGGAGGGCCAAAGGGAAACCCAAAAAAACACTTGCAGCACCCCTCAAAGCCTTCACTTGCCAATGCCCACTTCGAGTAGAACAACGAACCCCTCCCCTGTGAGCAAATACTAACACTGGCTTTGAGAAAGGAGCACCATGGGCGGACACAAAAAAAAGAGCTACACATGTGCTCGGTGGCATCACTGTGCTCCTTCAATCTGCACTATCATCTCATCTACTGTTGTCAAGTAATATCAAGCAGTAGGTCGCCGCACAACCAAACTACAAAAGAAAGAGGTGGTCGCGGTTTCAAAATCTGGTCGGGCAGGGACGAGTGAACGTCCAAAACAGCCGCTATTCATGAAGTAGTTTCGTTGAACAAATGTGTGCGCGTTTTCCCACATATGCGTGATGTCGTGTTCACTACGGGCGCGGCTTCTGCGCCCTGACAAAGAAGGGTAGTATTATTTCTAAGCGTCCACGCCTTTAGAAGGGCTTTCTGCACCAGACTTCAGAGAGAGAGACAGTCGATTGCACTTGTGTGCACGCACATGCCCCGTCTTCAGCACGCAAACACAACAAACTCGCAACCCCTCAAATTCCTGATTCCCGCCAACTCGTTCCATTGCGTTTTGTTCATGGCCCTTCAAAAAGGGAGGTTGTTCTTGGGATGCCGTACGGTAAGCCAAAAAACATGCTAAGTTAGTGTGCAATGCGTGTGGTTGTGGCCGTTTGTTGGTCCTGTCCTGTGGTGTTTGCATGCGGGATGAGTTCCACGCTCAACGCATTGCAAAATACTCAATACTTCTCAATCCAGTCAGTACCTTGGCATAGGCATTTGGGGATGTGAAAGCCGGAGCCTATTTGAAAGTGGAGGGGTCATTGGATCAAACTCTTTGGACACCAATTTGAAGGGGAACAAGAATGTGAACATTTCTTGGAACTGCATCCAGGCGGATGGCTCCTGCCCAGTCTGCCCCCTCTGCGGCCCCAGCTCCGCGCTCTCTTTGGCCCGGTCGAGTGCTGTCAGGTGCAGGGAAAGATGACGACGCCGTGCCTGGGGAAAAACAAAAAACAGGGAAGATTGAGGGGAAAACACTGGACAACTCGGGGAGGTGTAAAGGCAGTGGCTACAAAGCAAGCATCACAACCGCTGGAAGCATTTCAAAAAAGATAGCCCAAAACGACGAACCCTAAAGACAGACAGCAATGCTTTTATGCAACCTGATGTCATTCCGAGCCAGCTGTCAGCTCTGGGATGTGGCCTTCCCAGACATTTTGCCACCTCTATCCTTGCCGCTCTGCGCTGTGGTCAACCAGATCACGACGGAAGACGCAAAGTGCATTTTGGCAGCTCCAGCTCCAAAATCGCAACTTTTCAGCGCACGTGCAGTACTCGCAGCACACGTTGTCAGCTCCAGCTCGAAGACCACAACATGCTTCGTACAAGTGTAGTGCACAGAGGAGCTCGAAAATCGCGACCTTTTTTTACTACGTGTAGCACGCGAAGTACACCTTGGCAGCTCCAGCTCGAAACTGCAACCTCTTCAGTACACGTGTAGTACAAGAAGCACAGATGAGCAGCTGCAGCTCAAAAATAACGACAGGCTCAGTACACGATGAACATCCCCCAAAACAACTAATAAAATATGTTGCTTGTCGGTGGAGCGTTCAATCCAGCAATCAATCCAGCAAACAACCATTGACTCTCGGCGAAGCTGATTCGTGGTAGTAAAAGCATTCAAAGCCCCTGCAACCTTCAGGATTCCCCTCCTCAGATGTCGTCGAGAAACAAGTAGGGAAAGGAAAGGGATTGACATAAACCCACCACTTCCCTTGAAACCGAACGACCGACCCCCTTGTTCAATGGTTGGGTGGGGTCGCATCACGGCGATGGCTCGCTTGCCCCCGCATGGCGACGGGCGTGCAACAGGTCCGAGCGGTCGGTATTGCGGTGGGTAGAATTGGTGATTGATGATGTATCGCAAATACTTGTCCTGTTTTTGCGTCAAAAACGTATGTTCGACATTTCTTTGCCACACGCCGACTTGCTGAGTGGTAGCCATCCACAACATCAAGAATGTTCCACCATTTGGCAGTCAAACATTGCCCAAACCTTGTCTCATGGCGGAGAATGCGCTTTCTCACCAAAAGGTTTCCGGGAATCGCCACCCACAGGTCGATTTGGAAACGAAGCTTTTCTGAGCCACGTCGAGTGGTCTCCCGAGGCTCCCAACTGCCCGCAAGTCAGCCTTGGCCTTCTCCAGCTTGGCGTCTACGCCTTCCCGAGTCTCCCGTTAGGGCCTTCGATAGCCCAGGAAAAATGGGCATTCCCATTCGATTTCCCTCCCTTTTACACTAAAATGGTAGCCTCAAAGAAGGACGACGCGCATGGGAAGGTGTCAAAATCTGATATCCCTTTCACCATAAGAACCTCACTGCAGGGTCTTGGAAGACAATGCTCCTTTGAAGAGACGAACATGATCTTCTGCGTTAACTCATCGTGGATTTAAGGGACTGTACCCATGGGCTCCCCACACCCAGCTCCCTCAACAAGATCATGCGGCTGCAAAAATGCTTGCAAAAGTTGCTATCCAAGCGAACACTCTCCAAGTACAACTTGCAGCAAAGTATCTGTTTGCAACCGGCTACACAAACTTTTCGACCCCGTGTTGTGTTTTTGCGGAAAAATATCAACCTCGTGCTGTTTTTTTGCGGGGGTGTTGCCCAAAGCGAAGGATTCCCATTCTTGGGACCCCCCTTTTTATTCGCCAACCAGGGGCGTATCAATAGGTTCCCATTTCTATATGCTCTAATACAACCGTAGCTTTCAATGCAAAACTGCTGGGCCACGCGCCGGATGCCAGCATCTCCCTCTCACGCCGGACTCGGTGCGACAGCACGTTGCTTTCAAGAAAATCGCCAGCACCCACCCATAAAAGATACTCCTTCTGGCAAAAGCCTGAGCTCGAGGGCTGAAGCAAGCACCACAGTAGGATTCCCTGATGTCGTTCTACCCATGACTGGCTCAATACTTCTCAAGGGCATCTACGCTAGTTGTACAAGGTGGAGCCCTTGTTCTCAGGAAGGGTTCACACAATACGTTTCAGCAAGGCGGACCTCTTTTGGAATAGCAGACATGTCATGCTTTCCATGGAGCAGGAACCCTTGCGCTGTCCGAGTTGAGGGTGGAATGCAAAACAGGGCGGCTACCACATGATCTACAAACGGAAGAAACTCGGATCTGTCACAGGTCAAACTTTGCAACCTCTTTGTAGAGGAAGCTGGATCCATGAGTCGCTGGAATTCAGAAGCTGAGGCGGAGCATTCTGATCCGAAGCCAATGCTGATCAAGTGAATTTTGGAAACTGAAACGCCCAAATGGGCGGTCCACTGCAACACCCAAATGAGCGGTCCGCACACAAACAACATCTCCATCAACGAGAGTAGGTCCTCGTTGCCTTGGCACTCACCACAAGCCCAATGATCCACATGACCATCCCTACCCAAGTGATCCTTATTGGCTTTGACCGGGCTGCAAATGATGTCAAAACGAACCAGTGTGCCCCAGAAGTGGGAGTGATGCCTAGGCCAAGGCAAACAAAAGTCAAAACGTCACGTCTCCACCCCTAGGACTATCGCCGGCCTTTCACCGTCCTTTTGCAGGAGCACGTGTTCAAAAAGCTCTTTTATGCACTTTATTGCTGAATCCTCGTGTCAGCCCTTTCGAAATGAAATCCCTGGCCGTTCGGGGCGATCTTTCGCGGACTCAGAGACATGCCTCACACTCCAATTTTAGATCATTGCAACCTGCAGCGCAGTTTTCTTGAGCTCCAGGCCTTCCTCCTGCGAGAGCAGCTGGCTGTCGATGCATGCCAGGCGCCATGCTCGGAGCCACCTGCGACAGTGGTGATGATGATGATGATGATGATGATGATGATCCTATCCCTTTCCAAGTTGTCCTTCCTTGAAAGTGGCGCTGTTTTAATAGACCGCTATCATCTGTATGGTCCTCCATTGACCCTGCCTTTTAGTTGCAAAAACGAGCCATGACACATAGCACGAGATCTGCCCAAGACCTTACCATATAATCCTAAAACCACCGGCCCCTTGCGAGAGATGGGCAATGGTTTCTTGAATCACCTTTTTCCCTAGTATATGTTTGGTTCAAGTCCGAGCCACCCAAAAAAGGCTGCCGCTGTTCAAAAGGAGAACGCTTCAAGCGATCGACCAAAGCAACAAGGGCGAGCGGCCGCTCACAGCACAAATGTTGACGTTTTGACACATTCCCACGTATTCTCAGAATGGTCCCATAGCTAGTTTCATTTTGGTTTCCCTTGAAAACTTACCAAAAGGGCATCCACCGGTTGGAGAGACACTCGAGCTTCCCTCATTTCGCCTTGCCTTCCTCTCCAAAAGGCTGTGCCCTCGCGTTCCAGGGCCAGTCGCTGGAAGTGGCACCTTGAGGGTTTCGGGTGCTTCCAGAATTGGACTTGGTTGGTCGGTAGGTTGGTTGGTCTGTGAGTTGGTTGAAGCTGGATTGGGTTGGGCTGCGTTTTGTGCGCTGTTGTGGATTTGGTTCTTGATGTACTGGTTGCATGCTGTACTGCTTGGGCGCTGTGGCCGTCATTTTGCTTGACGGGGGCGGCCGTGCCGTAAACACGGGCAAAGTGATAGACAGTGGAAAGGCAACTCTCTGGATGGAGAGCATGTAACTCCTGTCAAGTCTTGATTGCGCGCTCTCTGGGCACATCATAAGCTCAAAGAAAGAAGGACATAAAGGAAAGAAGGCATAAAGAAAGGAAGCAAGCAAGGAAGGAGGCAAGGGAGAGGAAAGAAAGAAGGAAAGAAAGAAGGAAAGAAAGAAGGAAGAAAAGAAAGAAAGAAAGAAAGAAAGACAGAAAGAAAGAATGAAAGATAGAACGAAAGAACAATATATATATATATAATATAGAGGAAGAAACACCAATGAATGACAAAATGAATAAAGAAGAAAAGACAGACATAACAAACAAATGACAAAATAAATGACAAAATCAACAATGAAAGAACGAAAGAACGAAAGAACAAAAACAAAAGAAACAAAGAAAGACAGAAATAAATAAATAAAGAAATAAAGATAAAGAAAGACAGAAAAAACGAAAAAGAGAGAGAGAGAGAGAGAGAGAGAGAGAGAGAGAGAAGACGAGAAAAAAAGAAGAAAATAACACAGCAAGCTGATCAAGCAAGCTATATGACCAAGCACAACAGTAAACAATGTAGCAATACATACTAGTAAGGAGAGAAACATTAAATATTAAAAATTCCGAACATTGACAAACCCAAAACGTCTAGTGAGAGACATCTGTGAACTGTCAGGTGGAAGATGTCAAATCTGCTCCAGCTCAAATTGTGCATTTCCTTGGACGCCCGAACCAAGCAAGACGCAGTATCAAGCTTGTCCAACGTGGCATCGGCGTCTCTTAGATGATGTGGCTGGCTGGCTATCAATTGAGCGGCTAGGCATGCGTTGCCGCTGCCCCTGAAAGTTCTTGCTGGCCCTTCCGGAGACCAACATAACACCCCCGTTGCCAAGAAAGCTGTCCAAATCCCGAATTGCAAGACGTTGGTCCAAAAAAAGCCACGTGGACTCACCTAGCCACCCAGAGGAAGCCCCCCCTGCCCTCCGCTCGGTCCGCGCCTGCGGCTGGGCAGGTGCCACGTCAGCAGCGCCCTTCGCTTCAGCCGCTGCGCCAGCGCCTCGCGCTGGCGACACCTCACCGGGCGCCCGGGTGCGAGACACGCTGAACGGCTGAAGCCCCAAAATGGGGCGATGTCCTTTTGATCTCCCTGAAAACTACCCGGAACAAGGCCTATTAACAAAAAGAGTAAAACACGCAAACACACAGTGGATGGGCAAATTCTGAAGCTGGGGCCGTATTTGAAGTGGGATAAAAGCCGTCTACCAAATGGTACAGGAGTTTGTGCATCCACAGGATGGAAAGAGTTCTGGATTCATGGCAAGTGCACTGGGAGCAGGGTCTTGATACTGGTGAAATACACCGTGTGATGTGTATGATGTTCACAAGATTGCAATGCTCATGACAAGTGTGACCAATGCAAAATATTGAATTGCTTCAAACAAGAGCTAGTGGTAGGCTTTAAAGTAAGTCAGGCAAAGGGTTGGGACGTGTGCTGCAAAGGGCGGATGAGACCAGTTAAGTGTATGCTTGCATTTCTGGCACCTCACCGCGCCAGAAAAAACAACAACGGCTGTTGGGCGGTTAGTTGCTTCTTTCCGGCTGCATGGCAGCTCGGAGAAGTCACAGCACTTATCTCCAAAAAAGTAGTATTGCCTGACAACCTCTTTGACACTAACAGTTGGCGTACCCCCGGAATTTGTGCACTTGGCCCTGACGTCGGATTGCGCCGATGGCTGAACTAAAAGGTTATCCAGGCTGCAATTCCACCAATCCCAAGATTCCCGTTCTAGGGAATCTCTGAAATGCATTTTTTCCTAATCCTTCTTCCATGCGGAGATGCGTTGCTGACGGCAGTAAGATTGCATTTCAGTATGATGAATCTTCTAACAATCCAGCGTTGAACCCTTCGGTACATAAACCAATAAGAGTTTTCCTCCTTCAAAGCTTAAAGTGGATCGCGATGGTCTCAAGCATGCAAACTCCAGCATCGCATCACTTAGCATGGCAGGCCCAAACTCGTTGCACAACATCACAAAACAAATCATTTCGGCATATTCACCGTGGCCTCAAGCTGACTCACGTGCGTCTTCCAATGATGCTCCGGGTCTGTGGCATCGTTTCGTCCAGTGCGTCTCGCCGACGGTGTCGAGCGTTCTGGCGGTCAGCCCTTTCCTGTCGTGGGAGAGGTCAACATGCCATG